CACATTTCGAAGTAACGGAAGTCCACACTTTGCAGTCAAAAGATATGTGCTTTGCTGTGTGTAGTCTCCAACGCAGAAGCCACAATAATTTTAGGGTTTTAGTCAAACGAGTCCAAACATTTCGAATTCAGAGTCCCCAACTTTTGCGGACCTCCCGAGTAAAGTATGCGGAAGTTCTTCCGTACGTCAGCCCCCTTGATTTTTTATTTTCGCCGATTTTTCAGAACCCCTTCCTCCAATCCTGTTGATGCGGTTAAGAGTAAACTCCCCAGCATAATAGGAGAGAAATCCTCCCGGCCGGTGACACATTGCACTCTCAACGGCCGCGATGATTCCAACCCGCTGGTGAAAGGGGACACTCTCGGCCGCCGAGAGTGTAACCTCTCAACGGCCGAGAGAAATTCTCTCGGCCGCTGAGAGTGTACCCTCTCAACAGCCGAGAGGATCCCTCTCAGCCGGTGAGAGGGTACCCTCTCAACGGCCGAGAGGGTCTCTCTCGGCCGCCGAGAGGGTAACCTCTCAACGGCCGAGAGGGTTTCTCTCGGCCGCCGAGAGTGCAGCCTGTCAACGGCCGGGAGAATTACTCCCGGCCGTTCCTTTTCTTTTTTTTTCAGCGCCGACTCCAAACCCCCATGGGGTTTTGGAGTATCGACTCCCAAAAACCCCCGAGGGGGCTCGAAAAAAAAAATAATAAGTATTATTTTATTAGGGAGTCGACTCCCAAACCAATCAAAGGGTTTGGAGGTCCGACTCCCAAAAAACGGGGGAAAAAAAAAATTAGGGGGCCTGACGTCCGGAGGACCGTCCGCAGACAGTCCTCAGGACGTCCCCAAAATTTGGGAGTCGGAACTCCAAATTTTGGGAGTCGTTTGACTAAGTCCCTAATAATATCCCCTGACTTGCTGATCTTGATGGCTTAATGTCTGTCCGTTTGTGTGTGTATAAAACATGGTTATAAAAAGCTGCATACAACGGTCAAGAACAGTTCATATGTCTCAATGCGGATGAAGAGGAGAGAAAAGAAAGCTGCGTATCAGCTGATCGGGGCCTCCCCGAACACTCTGTTCGAGTGATTTCCTCTTTTTCTTTTCTTTCTTTAACTTCTGGTTGGTCGTCGGATGCAGATATTTGTAGTGGTGATGAGTTTGGGGCTGATGAGCCTGCTGAGCAATTAAAGCAGACTGATAGATAGTTGTTCGATCGACTTGGTCTTGATCAGTCCAGGACTCCAGCCCAGTTCTCGGTCATGAAAAGGACAGCTTGAGAATGATGATGATCTGTGAAGTGAAGTGAATCGAATTCGAATTCGAATCGAAGGAAGAAAGAAAACGGATCTCTCTTATGGAAAGCCGGAGCTGATGGCTTGGTTCTGATCACCACTCAAACATCTCGCAAGGATCCAGATGTGGCAAACCGCCACCTCACATCTTCCATTATCATTTCCCACCCTCTGGACCCTTCCTTGTCTGGGCTGTGCTGTTCTATCGTCAATCCAACTCGATTCGAATGGTTTTCTTTTCTTGATGATGGATGAGGATTAAATATGTAAGCTCCTCCAGTCGATCTTCAACTCGCACTCTTCGATCCCAACAGCACTGATCGAGCTCATTTCATTACTGCTTTTCGGCCCGGTCATGCGAATCGCAAAAGGAACAATATATGATTTGTGTCCTCAAGTAAATTCTATATGTTGTATTCTGGCTTGGCTTCCATCTTGTTGCGAACATTTCCAGATTTATCTTACATGTACCCTAGCTCTAGTTACAACAACACCGAGTGCATGTCCCTTATAAGGATTGCTCAAGATAGCAGTTGTAAAAGCCCCCCTACATCTATTTACATAGCTCATCAAGCTCGACCAAGCCCGTCGAAAGACAGCTTCAAGGGCTAAAGGAAAACTGCCCAGCCACAGTTGGGATTCAAGTTGTAATGTATGTTGCATATCTTCCGAGCCCCACTCCCTCCCCTTTATGTACCAGTGCAGTGACGCAGTTGGTGGGCAGTGCCCAGTCTAGAAGCGCTGCTACATAAGAATATTTGCAAGGACTCCCGATAACCCTGTGGGTGGTTGATGGATATTTATACACCAAGGGCGTATGTATACATTGAACTCATCGACTCCTATTTACAATGTATTCTTGTTTCCAAACATTCAACAGAAAGAAACAAGTCTTGATCTTCGAAACTCTCTTTCCCTTGGCAGAGAGACAGAGAATTCCATCGAATTCGAATCCTATAAGACGTGGCTGGCTTGCTTCTTTTGGGCAGATCTGATTATAGGCTGTTGGTTCTCTGGAAATCGATTATCCAATTATAGCCAATATCCCCCCATCATCCCTACATAGTTGGCTTAAATCATTAGCCATCATGGCACACTCCCAAGTCTCAATCCGGCCAAAGCACTCGATGAGGAGTAATCAGCCTCACTCTGGCTCTCGTTCGATCGATCATAATATCCAAGCACCCCTTACTCGCACTGGCCATCATCAGCATATTAGCCTAATATCACCATCAGCCCAAGATATCAATCATCATCTCCAAGAACAACACTCTTCCCTCCTGCTACACAGAATCCATCATCATCTCCTTGAGCTCCCTCAAGAACAACAACAACAACAAGAAAAAGAACAACAAGAAAAAGAAAAAGAAAAAGAAAAGCGTCACCGACGATCGCAAACAGTTTCTTCTATATGCTCTGACTTCAATAGTCTCATCGAATGTTACTCCCCTAATCTCTATTCCACTCCTTCAACTCCCAGTCTACAATCCTCCATTGGCTCCCCCTATATTTGGCGCAACCCAAACCCACTCTCCCCTAACAGTGAACCCCCCACTTCAATCCACTCAGACTCCTCCCAGGCGGATAAGAATAATAATAATAATACGGGCATTCCCATCTGCTCCGCCCCTCATCAGAGCCTGTCTCAAACTCCGCTCCTCAGCTTGATTGCCCCCGAGCCCATTCAAAACATGTCCTCCTCCATCCTCCCCCACAAACTCAGCCACTTCCGATCATGCTTCAAACCCGCAAAGAGCGCCGTCCCCTCACACATCTCGCAACCCACCCTTGCCGCAGACCATCGCCCCTCAAGCTCCCTCCATCATCCTCTGTCGGTAAGCCATCTCTCTGTGTCCAGGGTTGGCTTATATTCCACTCACCCTGTGCCCAGCTGAAATCTTGTTACATATACACATTAAAATCTTTCTCTCTCTCTCTGCATCACACAGGTCTAGTGATCGATCCAGAATCCTGGGCGCACTCGGACGAAAGTGAAGGAGAGTCAGACCGTCTGAAAGACCGAGCCTCGGATCAGGATGACGACGACGACGAGGTGCCGCTGTCGCAGTTGCGGACCAAGCCGAGTCTCGGCGAGCTGCCGGCCTCGCCGATCAAGCCCGATCATCATCATCATCATCAACAACAATCCTCGTTCTCAAAAGTCTTGAAGCGTTATCGCTCCTCTCGTTCCTTACGCTCGTTGTCCAAGAAGACCTCTGAGGGACCAATGGCGATGGCCGCTGCAAGCCAACAACCACAACAGCCGGTCTGTCGGTCCCGACAGACTGTGAACACCCGCGGGGAACGCGCTTGTCCAGCCCAGCCGCCGCCCCTGCCCACACGCACCCTCCGGCCGGCCATCTCCTCCCCCAACCTCTCCCACCCCGTCCTCCACCAGCCCCTCCAAGCGTCCCCTCCTCCTCCGCCTCCCTCCTCTGCCACAAGACTCGCATTCCCTCGTTGCCCTCGCCCCCCCGCTCCCTCCCCTCATAACGGCGCCGGACTCTCTTTGCTTCAGCAACCCCTCGCCTCCTACGTCTTCATCTGGTCCCTTTCCTCCCTCGCAGGGCGAGGGTTTCTTTCCCACCCCCTCCATCCTCGATCTTCTCG